GCAGGGTCTCTATGAGTCGGAACCGACTTCACGGCACATCACAACAACAGCAAAAGTCCTGAATGAAGTTTACTCTTGAAATCAAATGCATAAAGTTCATGTAAAAAAGAAAAGCTAGTAACCACATGTTCTACACTTCATCTTTGGAAATAGAATATTACCTTTCTCTCCTTCACTTTCAAATGATAATTTTCTCCTTCGTAGTTTACAATTCTCTCCTTCAGAATCATTCATGGATTGTGATCGTAGTAACATATCAGCCTTTGTTAATGGAATATGAAAATGAAATTGAAGATTACTCAATTTGAACATAATTTATTAGTAGAAAACTCTTTTACTATTTCATATAATTTCAACCACTTTGAGACTTAATTATTAGACTACAAGCAAATAGCTCCCATACTTTACTTAACAGTTGCCTCTAAATTATAAAACAGACTGATAGAATAATTCTAGTAGTTTCACCATCTGATGGGGAAATCATAGTTGTAGAAGTTATTTATCAAAAATAGCTGGGGATACTGCTGTTAGCATGTAGAGACAAAGTATTTCTTTATGTAGAATGTGCTTTCGGTAACTTGTAAAATAAAAATACAAGTATGTGTCTGTGGTTCCTCAAGTTTTCCTTCTTTCTTTGGAAAAGTAGTTCTCTTTTTATTATTTTGCCTTGATAGTTTTAAATCCCCCAGACTCAGAATTTTGCAGCACTGGACCATGGATAGAATGCAGGCAAGTGAGGCGGAGGCCATGGCTCTGGGTGTGCATGAGCACACCTCTACTCCTCTCTGCACACTGCCTCTCTTTTTACTCGGCAGAGTTGCCCTGTCAGCCTCTGCTGCTGCTATGGTCACTGCTGCTCATTCCCCCATTCTCTAGCAGTGGAAATGAAGAAGACTGGAAGAAAGCTCCCACAGGATTTTAATATGGTTTTTGCACAACACCAAATCACATACTGTCATATTTCACAGAATGTATGTGGAAGTTAATTGACATATACCTGTAATTAAAAAAAGCCATCAAAATCTTTATAGAATCTGTATTATATCAGAGATAAATATGTAAGCTAATTAGCCATGATGTTTAAATTATGTGGTAATGCTGATAGGGTTAAATTTCCTAATAAACATAAGGTTAAATTGGATAAACAGAATTCTTTGAAGCTCTTATTATTCTTGTTTCCAGCTCCTCTTCCTTGCCCTTATGGTTCATTCTGTATTTTATTATTAATTTTGCAAATAATAATGGAAGTGCCTCCTTTATTTAATTGGGTGATGCCTAACTATGTAAAGAAACTATCAGAGGTGGTAGTTTGTTGTATTTGAAGGCAAAATCAAAATGAGGCTGATGACATTAAATTGGGATTTGATGTTACTGAAATCAAAATATTATTTTAAAAAATACACTTAATAATATCATTCCTTAACCACTTGAATGTATCCAACTTTTCCATGAATACATTCTTTTGAAAAGAAACTATTTACCTTGTCCTTCAAGGTGTTAAATGGCACCATGTGGTTGTTAAATGTCAGAGTCGGTTCAGACTCACAGCAACCCTATGTAGGGCTTCCAACTAGCAACTGGTGTTGCAAACCACTGATATTGTGGTTAACAGCCCAGTGCTCATCCTACAATCCCGCTATTGTTGTTGTTGTTAAGTGCCATCCAGTTGGTTCTGACTCACAGCGACCCTTATTAGGGTTTTCGAGAAACACCTGGTGAGTTTGATGCCAATCTTGCAGTTTAGGCCTTATCCTACAGCACCACATTAGAATTCTGTGGTGACTTTGAAAGTTTCTCTTTCTCTTTAATACCCCCACAGTGCCTAAGATTGGCTATTGCTTCAGGAAGAATGAAATCTACTACAATTTACCTGTTGACTTGAGGACATTTATGCCAGAGAGGATATTAATTTGCATTAAAATACACTGGCAAGGTTAGAAATGCAATCTTTGGTTTCAATAAATCATAGATTAGAGTGGGGATGGGGTTGCCGGATTGTGAGGAAGAGTAATGGAGAAATAACTTAGTGATAAATTGTGGGCTATAACATAAATTCAGTACCCAAAGAATAGTTATTGTTGTGCACCATAAAGTTGGTTCTGACTCATAGTGACCCTGTATAGGGTTTCTGAGTGCAGCTAATGGGTTTGATCTGCCAACCTTGTAGTTAGAAGCCCAGTGCTTATCCTACAGAGCCACACTCAAAATCTCTTATTTTCATAGTAAAAGAAAGTGAAGCACAGAAAGACTCTCAATAATTAACATCAGGTTAATTTATATTTGGAAGCTATTTGAAATATTATTTCCATTAAAACATATATTATTAATTCTGTAGTAATAAGCTTGACTCTTAATATTTAAAACATGATTAATTTATATTGTTGTGATTTGGAGATTATGTTAAATATGGGCCAAAATTTGAATGAGATTAATTTTTCCATTATCACTGAGAAGACATTGCCAACCAATGTTCAGTGAATATATCAGTTGAGAAAAAGTAGTTTAACCTCTATATAAGATAGACCCTTAAGTGATCACCACTGTCTCAAATTATCCATTTCTTACAAGTAATTGGCACACTTTATATTAACAAAGACTAAGGAGCTCTGGTGGCGTAGTGGTTATGAATTGGGCTGCTAACCTCAAAGTCAGCAGTTCAAAACTGCCAGCTGTTCTGCAGGAGAAAGTTGAGGATTTCTGCTCCTGTAAAAAGTTACAGCCTCAGAGACCCTGTGCAGCATCACTATGAGTCGGATCCAACTCCACGGTACTTAACAACAACAACCTTCAATCAACTATGTCACTCAAGAGTTCCTACAAGGTCAATCTTAATTAATCTACTTAAAGTTATTCAATATATGTGTTTGAATTCCTTAAAAAGCACTCTATAATTCAGAAATTTTAATATACTAACATGGCCTTTCCTTCTAAATATTCAAAATTTGTAAAGTTTTGCTGCAACATTTCAATTGATCTTACAGAAATTTTTGTGTAGCCCAAGGAATAAAATATAATGCCAAAAATATAAGAATAAACAATCAGTTAACATATACCTTTGCACTCTCATGTCTTAGGTTGAAAGTCAACTCTAGGTTTGTTAGAAAGTGATCAGAAAACTCAGGATACATATCCAAAACCTCTAACAAGTCTTCGCGTTGGATCTTATGCAAGTCACAATATGTGAGAGCTCTTACATCTGCATTAGACTTTCCAGGTTTGGCATAAAGGTGAACCATTTCTCCAAATATATCATTTTTTCCTAAAAAACAAACAAACAAACAAAGGAAGGAATAGGAAGAGGAATTCCAACTTAATATTCCTCTACTGCAGTAAGAAGAAGAAAATAGACCAATCCCTTAATCAGTGATTACAAATGGAAGACCCCATGACTAACAGACACTTTGGGAAGTAAGTTCCAGCATAGGCACTAACTGCCCAGCACCTACTTGCTGAATGCAATCTATCTCTTATCTTCACTGGTCCTGGAATGAACCGTATTCGTTACCTTGTTTTAAGTCCTTTTGCTAAGGGTATAAGATGTGCCATACATCTTCATTATTGTATGCCTGATGTTACTACCAAAGAAACTTGCCATAGAATATTAAAAACAACAACAACAACAACAAAAACACTTTTAGATAGGTGTGATCTAATTTTACTAACAGGGAAATATGAGAGAGGCTAATGTGAGACAGATTTAAGATCTGCCTCTTACATTGTTGTTGTTGTTAAGTGCCGTCGAGTCAGTTCCGACCCATAGCGACCCTGTATAGGGTTTCCGAGGGTTTAAATCTTTAGGGGAGTAGAAAGCCTCATCTTTCTTCCATGGAGCTGCTGGTAGTTTCAAACCACTGACCTTAAGGTTCGCAGCCTGATTCGTAACCACTACGCTACCAGAGCTCCTATCTCTTACATTAGTGAACTGAAATGGACTGGTATTGGCCTTTTGAATCTGACAGCCACATGGTTTCCTATGCCGGGAATGACAAATTGAAGAGGAATGGTGTTGTATTCACTGTCAAAAAGAATGTATCAAGAATAGTCATGAGGTGCAATGCTGTCTGTGATAGGATAAATGATATCCATATGCCTACAGAGAAGAACAGTAGATACCACTATTTACGCCCCAGCCACTAAAGCCAGTGAGGATGAAATAGAAGAATT